AGCCTGCTTCCTCGTCTCTGATGGGGTGTGGAGTGAAACCCGTTTACATCAGGATTCCTTTCCTCTCCCATTCAGAAGCAGCTTGCCGCCCTTATTCAAAGAGTTGCTGAGTTTTCTTCTCTGCAGAGCTTTGCTCTGAGCAAACTAATCGTCGTCCGAAGCATGCCTAACCAAATTTTCAGGTATGCATTATGAAAAAGGCACAAACACTTAGCATTTCTGAAGTTTTCTCAAAAAAAAAAAAGTCTCTATTCCGAGAATTTTATTTGATTTTGTTCAAGGTTATAGCAATGTGCCCACCTAAATCTGAAGTTTGTTAGCTTGCTATTTCTGTTAGGCTTGTAAAATGAAAGCACTTGTTTTCTTAAGGAATCTGAGAAAAAAAAAAAAAAAAAACAAATTGTCCTAAGACTCACTTGTATCAGGACAGAAAAGAAAACACCTGTAGTTAGCATCATCCTCTCAGGACAGGAGTGTACCAAGTGCTACTAAGAACAGGGATAGGAGCTGGTGGGGTCTACAAGAAAACCTAAAATCGACTCTATGTAATTTCCTGAAAAACATTCTTTGATTAGACAAAGGGAAATGAAGGGCAGGGAGGGGAGATGGAACTAGGAAAGACAGTAGAATAAATTGGATATAACTTTCCTTTGTACATACGTGAAAACCTGACCAGTGAAACTCCACATCATGTACAACCACCAGAAGGGGAAGTTATACTCCCTGTATGATGATATGTCAAAATACATGCTACTGTCATGTATAACTAAAAATAACAAACAAATAATAATAGTAACAATAATAAAGAAAAAAGTGAATTATATTAGCAATCACATTGCTTAAAAAAAGAAACACCAATGGCTTTGAATTCTTGAATTTTCTCAGACAATAAAAAATTCAAACAATAATAGGACTTGTTTTAAGTAATCTAGTCTTTGGCAAAGTAAGACCRTGTTAAAACAGAGTATATGAAACTCTCTTTCATGCCCAACTTTGTTTTATTAAAGAGAGGACATTGTACCACAGAAAGTGGAAAAAGTCAAAATCCTCCCAAGTATCCAATGACTTTTTTCACTATGAAAGTCTTACCAAGCTACCTAAATGTTTGTTAATTTTTTTTAACTGAACAAAATGTATGCCAGCCTTGCTCTTGGCAACGACTCCAATATATACCTGTGATTCTCCATGGGGTCCATGAACATGGGCCTCCGTCTCTGAGTGCTCTTGGCCATGGTAGTAAATTCCAGGTAAGAAATCCCAGGTTAGAAAGCTCCTTGCAACCAGAGAAAATATGGAAAAGGGTTGAGAAAGCATTTCAGAGTGAGGTGGTGAAGGTTCATGAAACCTTGCCTTGTGCCCAGAGTAGCCCCACAGTGACACTAATATACAACTGCAGGGCTTTGTAAGAACTCAGAGACCCCGTCATTGACACATCTCATTTGTACAAATGAATAAAGTGAGAGTAGGAGTTAAGTCATTTCATTTGAAAAGTGGGTGGGACTAGAAAGAATTAGTATCACCCAAAGAGCATCATTTCAGTTAATTGTATGTGTCACCATGGCCGGACACTTTATTCCTGGTAGTGTGGTTGAATATTATTTGGGGTGTGTTGGATGACTTGCCTGGATAAGATTAACGTTTGGATCAGTAGATTCAGTACAGCAGATTTCCCTTCGCAACGTGCAGGGCCATCGTCCAACTTGTCGAGGGCTTTCATAGAATCCAAAACCTGAGTAAGAAACAATTCTTCTTCTCTGATAGTCTTTCAGTCATTTCCTACCTTTACATTTGAACTCTGACTGGAACTTAGACCATCAGCCCTCCTGGTTCCCAGTTCTGAGTTCTGTCTGGAACTAGATCAGAAGCCACTTTGCATTGAGACTTCTTGGCTTCCGTAATCTCATTCCCCATTTCCACGTCAGACCTCTTTCCCTGTCTCYGCACACACACACACACACACACACACACACACACATGTCCTGTGAGTTCTGTTCCTTTGCAGAACCCTGATGTAAATGCTGAGTTCAAAAGGGATAAAATGAACAAATTCCAGAATTCTACAACAACAACAACAACAACAATAACAAATATTGTTGAAATAAATATAGCAAATAAATACAGCAAACAAAGTAATGAATTATGGCTCAAAAAAAGTGTATATTCCTTCCTGTTGCCTCAAGATGAAATATGGGTTTTTAATATCCAGAGGCAACAAGATATTAGGATTACTCATGGGAGGAATCCTTAGATGCCCTCCATTTCTCTTTCTGCTTTTAAAGAGAGCAGGTGTGCCCCCCTATAAGCCACTCTCTGGTGTAAAGTTAAAAGGGGACAATGGAACAATAAATTAGAGTCCATGGACCTGAGTGGGGGAAGTCCACATTATCTGGGCAGCCCTTAGCCTGAGAGTCACTTGTCCCCGGTATCCTGTCTCTCACTCCTTACTTCCTGCTCCTTCTCCGGCTGTATCTGGGACCAGCACATCTTTTCCCTCTCCTGTAGGAAATATGGAAATAAATGAATTATCATATGGGTAAGACTTTATAACAGTCACCCACTCAGCCAACAAAGCCATCTACTGGAAATGGTCACGTGTTCCAGGGAGGTAGGTACATCCTGCAGAAAACCACCCAGTGAGGTTCAGCGGCAAGAGTAGGTGGACAACCCATTTCTCTGGAAGCTATTTTGACTTTGGACACAGAGACGAAATTGGCTCATAATGGTCCATGGGGCCCTGAAAGAGTGGCAGTAACTGATTTCGTTAGTGGTTTCATTCATAAGCAGGAGATTGCAGCAGCTCCGTTTTCTAAACCACTTAGAGTGTCCCTTGTTCCCTGACAAATATTCTATATCTTTCATGTCTCCATATTAGTGAAATGGAGATGCTTAAGAGGAGTCTCAGATCTCACCAAGGGTAAAGATTCAAAGGGAGCCACAGGTTAGACTGCTTCGTATTAATGCCAAATGACATTCCAAAACACTTAGCAAGGAAGGGAGGAAGAAGTAAATCCCAGATCAGATATGGGATCACACAGTCTTTTAAGCACCCCAGAAATCATAAACCCGAAAGAGTACTCTGCAAATATATAAGACTGACAAGACATGATTTGCCTTTGGATTCACGTACAATGATTATGCATCTTATATTCACTGTATTGGTGGAAACGCCAGTTTCAGGAGATTTAACTCTGGATCTCCTTTCCAGGGGGGAGGACAAAAATCTTGTCTCAGCAGGTTTGGGGAAGCCATTAAGCTCCTACACCAGACACACACAGATGTGCGCTGGAAATGGCTGCTGTGGACACGCGTGAAGCAGTTGGTATCTGCTGTTGTGGTTTGATGAGCTCCGTAAAATCCACAGCCAGCCCCCTTCCAGCACCAGGCTCATTAATTTGAACTGTATTGCACGACATATTCCTCAGGCAAGGAGCAAATTCTAGACCAATGGAAAACCAATGTCCATCTGTGACGGACTCCGTGGGGGGCCTTTTAAAGAGTCCTGAAACATGGAAGGAATGAAAATGATATCCGATTTTAAGAATTATGTGCACGGAGGGTTTGCACTTGATGGTGAGGACAGTTCAAATAAGTTGTACCCGACTGGCAACTTTGCACCAGGTGAAGAAAGCAAAAGCAGTGTGTCCTTGTGCAGTCTGAGCTCCCCAGGACAATTAATGACAGTGGCTTCGAGGTGGTGGTGGTGGGGGGTTGAGAGCAGGGTAAACCCCCTCCACGCTGTCTGGGAAGGAAATGCAGGGACATCCTGAATAGCACTCACTTCCCATGTTCTCCGGGCTCTGTGCTTCCGGGAACTCTCCCAGGTCCATCCTAGAGGACACTTTACCCACAGGAATCTTCCTAAATCCTCGGCTAACATGGGATTATGTTTATGATTGCAGAAACATCTGGCAACCAATGCCCAGGTACCATGCCAAATATATGTTGACCACAATATAGAAAACCTGGTCAAATACCTCTGTTCTCAGATGGTTGATGATGTAACAAGAAGGCCCCATGGTGAGTGCTGTCGGGCTGTGATCATGACCTGACTCTTGTTCATGCAACTAACTTAGAATGTGGAATCGGCTAAAAGGGTAAACTTGGCTCTGAGACACTGTTCAGGGGAATTCAGGATGGCTGGGTTATTTTATGTGGGTGCCCATTTCCCTTCATTTCTTTTCCTTTGCCGCAAAGCACTTCTTTTGATCATTATCAAGACCGAAATGCCTAAAAAGTGAGTCTGGTCAGGTGCAATCGGTGGTGCACACCTGTAATCCCAGGGGCTCAGGAGGCTGAGGCAGGAGGATCTCGAGTTCAAAGCCAGCCTCAGCAATAACAGCGAGGTGCTAAGCAACTCAGTGAGACCCTGTCTCTAAATAAAATACAAAATAGGGCTGGGGATGGGGCTCCGTGGTTGAGTGCCCCCAAGTTCAATCCCTGGTACCCCCCTATAAAAAGTGAGTCTGGAAAAAATACCACGTATATCCACATTTTGGGGGTGCAAATATTTCTCATCCCAACTTGATTCAGACATTAAAGCACACCATGCCTTCTAATAGCTGATACTTTGAAAGAAGCCCAACTATAAACAAATAATTATATTTTATTTGGATGTAGGGAGCATTTTCTAAATACCAAAGTGAATGGCCTGGAGTACATTCAAATGCACAGAGATGCAAAACCATTTTGTATCTATCATCCTCTTCAAAGGGGAGTTATTTTCACTCTCCACATAAAAGCCCCTTGAAAGACGCAGCAGTTGCAATTCCCGGGATTAACTTGGCACCTCTGAATGTATGCAATCATGTGTGAACTTTCCAATTCAAAAGTGTTTAAAATTGTTTTTATTAATGTACCACAGATATTTACAAGATCTTAATAATATACATTTTTTTTTCTTCTTTCCAAACGAGTCTGTATTAAGAATTAGCATATTGGAGGCTGGAGAGCCTAATTACAGAATGATTTCGCTTTCAGAAAACTCCCAACCGTTTATGGTTCTATTCATCGTCTAAGCGGCTGAATAGCAAAACGGTAAAAAATTGGTAGGGTGACGGACAGGAAATGGGTGCGAGGTTCTGAGACTTGATTTCCTCTGGAACTCAGACCTGCAAAATAAAAAGGAGAACACAAAACCACTTGGAAACATGTAATGGCTCATTAGATTAATTCTTCAAGACACAAAACACTCATTTCTCTTCCAGTCACATATTTTATTATATTCACTTTAATTATAATATGTTTAATTTTAGGAGGTCCCTTTACGCTTTGTTTTAGGCTGTTTTAAATGCAGAATGGCAGTCAGGAGGGTTTAAACTGGTGATGCCTTCCTAAAGTGCAGGTTAAAATTGGTCATGGCTGGGTGTGGTGGCTCACATCTGTCATCCCAGTGACCTGGGAGGCTGAGGCAGGAGGATCTTGAGTTCAAAGCCAGCCTCAGCAACTTAGTGAGGCTCTAAGTGACTCAACAAGACCCTGTCTCTAAATAAAAAAAAATAAAATAAAAAAGGACTGGGGATGTGGCTCAGTGGTTAAGTGCCCCTGCATTCAATCCCTGGTACCAAAACAGATAAAATAAAATAATAAAATACACTTGGATGGTTGATGATTGGACATTGATCAGAGCCACAGGCCCTTCTCATTCCTTTTAAGCAAAGATGCTAAAATATTCTTATATCCTAAGTCTGACTGATGGGCACTGGCCTGAATAAAGGATCTTACTGCCAAGTTGTGGCGGGCTTCAGTATGAATGCGGTGGTGGACTGGTGATGTCTGCCCTGAATCTGGAAAGCGCGGTATGGGAAGCACACTTCTCATTTGCTAGCCCTGTTCTAGGAGGCCTTTAAGAATCCATAAAAAAAAAAAAAAATTCTGCATCTTTGGTGCCAACAGAATGAATGAAGAAATTGCCCACCAAGAACACAGAGGGTTTGTGTTTTTTTTTTTTTTTTCCAAATGAATAAACCTCAGACTGCAATAAAGAATGCACAATGCAAGTTGGAAAGATGAAAGACAAACTCCCTCCTCCCTTCTGGTTCACCCATAAAAATGGAACCACAGGCCTTTTAGTTCCTCCCCAATAATCTAACAAGAATTCGGAAGTTTCCTGAAGCCCAGGTTTCCTTGTGCAGCTGTTTAGAGTGGAAGAATCTACAAGAGCCCCCCGGGGACCCCACTCACTGGACATTTTTGGAATTCTGATCTCCTCACTGCTGCTGCCGTCCCCGCCGTCGCTGACGGTCCTTATCTCTATCAAGTAGTCTTCTTCAAAGGGAACCAGGAGCTCCGCGGAGGTGTTGTTGGTTTCCAAAATGTGAGTCTTGCTCTGTCTGTTCTGCCGGTACAGAATCTGCGTAAAATGGTGCATGGGGTTAATACGGACCCGGAGACTTGTCACACCCTGTTTATGAAACACTATGAGGCCAAAAAAAAAAAAAAAAGTCATTATCCATACTGTGATCCTCATAGGGAAGAGTCAAGGTAGTGTCTGTTCTTTAAACGTGTTTGTTGCTAAGAAAAAGATGTCTCTGCCAGGGACTGGAATCCAAGTGACTCAGGAGGCCAAGGCAGGAGAATCCAAAGGGTGAGGCCAGCCAGCCTCAGCCATTTAGCCAGGACCTATGCAACTTAGCAAGAATCTATCTCAAAGATAATAATAATAAAMAAATTAAAAGGGCCAGGGATGTGACTCTGTGGTAGAGCACACTTGGGTTCCATCTTAGTTGAGAAAAACAAAAAAAGAAAGAAACAAAAAGATTTCTATTTTGGCTACTGTCTCTGGAATGACTAGATTGATCTCTGCTAATTAAGTGGCTTGAGGCTATCCTCATTGGTGTTGGCTGTTTAAAGTCAGTGTTAGGTTTGGACCCATGTCAAGTGTCTGAGTGTATATTCCTACTGATGGACACGCTGTGCTCTGGGTACTTGACGATCCCGTTGTTAAATCATCTGAATGATTTTGAAAGGTCACAGCCTACTGGACCCTGAGTTCTAGAAATTCTCTTTGAACGTATCCTTTGACCTCATCGACATTTCACATCCACTACCCAAACACACATCACCTTTTGATGGCAAGAGGAGTCACCTTAAAAAAGTATATAATATGGAACCCTGCAGAATTTTGTATTATGATGGTCCAGGAAACGTGTCACTGGACTCAGACTCTGAGACCTTTTCGGTCAAGCACCCGAAGGCACCAATTTTCAAACCACTTTGTAAAATCATCCTGCTGGGTGCCCTGGGGGGTGCACATCTATCATCCCAGCGGCTCCGGAGGCTGAGGCAGGAGGATCTCGAGTTCCAAGCCAGCCTCAGCCATGGTGAGGCCCTAAGCCACTCAGTGAGACCCTGTCTCTCAGTAAAATACAAAATAGAGCGGGGGAGGTGGCTCAGGGGTCGAGTGCTCCCTGAGTCCAATCCCTGGTACCCAAATAAATAAATAAATAAATAAACAAAAATTATCCTGTCTCCACAGGCAGCAAATTTGTCTTCTACTTTTTTWAAAAAAAATGACATTCCTGATTCCTTGGTGTCATAATTCATAGAACTAAAGGGAAAAGTAGGACTCACCTTGTAGCCCAACACTTCAGACTCGTTTTCCATGGTCTTCACGTGCTCCCAGTTCAAGCATAACTTGGAGTTGGAGAGCTTCCAGGCAATGTTGGCGGGTGGTTGGCTGGGGGCTTTAAAAGACAATCAAAGAGTCCAGTGAATATTAATCAGCTCATGGCCCCTGCACGCTGTGCTATAACACGAAACAGGAAGAACGAGTCTCCGATGATTAGCATAGAAGGAGCTAAAATGTTTTCGGTGTCATTTGAAATCTCGTGTTAATTGTAATCAGAGTAAGCAAAATTTATTCCAATTCCCGTCATTGGAGAACGTCTTTGTGACAAGCGTATGAATTAATAATGGCTTCCCGAATGTCCAGTGTTAATTTATTAATCATGGGCTGTGGAGTGGGTTGGTTGTGTGTTTAAGTGAATCAGAAGTCGCTATGATTAGGATGGCATGGAGCTGTCAATCAATGGGTACGTTAAGCAAATTCTGGTGGCACTGGGACTGTTTAGGACTCTTTGGCTGTCACACAACCAACCCAAGATATCCTAAGCAAAATATTAGTGGTTGACTTTGAAGAATATAGGGGGAATCTGTTAGCAGAGTCTGGAGAAGAGAAAAATGTCAAGGTCTTAGCACAATCCGCTGTGTGTTCGTATTAGTATAGACCACGTCTTTGCCATTCTGAGTGTATGTGACAGAAGTCCTAACTGCCCAGACTATCTGAAGATGGAAAAAACGCCTCTATTTAAAGGTAGCTCAAGCTAGAATTCTGGTGAGAAAACTCTGTCTATCTCAACTCTATCACCCGTGCTGGACAGTGAGCCTGAGGCATGTCCTTTAATGTAAAGAGAGCTGGTGGGAACCCAAAAAAGGGGATAAGACAATCATCAGGAAGAGGGTGGTTATTCCAGGGGGTGTCTCCTCCAACTCCAAACTGTGGCTTTGAGTTCCTTGAAAGCAGTGTTGTTTGGGAGAGAGGGGAAAGGAAGCAACTAGAGGCAGCTCCTCCAACTCCAAACTGTGGCTTTGAGTTCCTTGAAAGCAGTGTTGTTTGGGAGAGAGGGGAAAGGAAGCAACTAGAGGCAGCCTCCTAAAAGTACAGGATCCCAGTTCACCAAGACCCATTGACAAACAAGAAATCCAGATTCCAGGCCGGGAAGTCACTCATCCCGACAAACACAGCTACCTGGAGGCAGACCGGGTCGGAAGGCGGGTCTCTTGGTTTCCAATCAGGTGAGTCCCTATGATAAGGGGCTCGGAGATTTGACCTGGACAAAGATCTGAGCCCCAGGTGATTGTTTTTGAGATGTGAAAAACTAGGAGAGATTGAACATCATCCAGCTGCAAAGCAGAGGCAAAGATAAAACTTCCCAGGAAGATGTTTCTTGGCAAGTCTTTGGAGTTTGAGAAGCTGAAGGATCTTGGAATTTTCACTTAACTGCTGCTTCACACTACTGGACATGCTTTCTCATTGTGCAAGATGCACGGTGTCCCATGGGGTATGACCCTGCCTTCCCTGGTCTCCAAATCCACCAGAATCACCACTACTGTCCACCTGGCCATAAGTGCCACCCTTGGGACACGTAGACAGAGAAATGCTCCTTCCGATGGTCCCAAGGGGGCTCCGTTTCTGTTTATTGTGAATTTATCATGATGAACGACAGTTCCTCTCGACCACGTGTTTCTCTAACTTTGCGCAGGATCTGAGCCTCCTCAACTCTATTATTACCGACCCCAGCACCACCGTTGTGCGTGGCACAGAAGAGGCACACAATTCAGATATGTTTCATAAGTGACTTGCAATCAGATGACGAAAGAAAACTGCTCAAGGTCCTTTGCCATTTTCTCAGGCCACATTGATGGTGCCGTGGGCCACGGGCAGATTCGTAGGTGACCCAATACGGCCTAGCCATTCATTATGTTGTCCTACCTTCAAAGACAAAGGCCGAAGTTGGACCCACGGCCATCCGTGTGTGTTCGTGAGATGGACAGACCCATCGGACTGACCATCTCCTAGAACGAACCCAGCCCTAATTAAAGTCTTATGTTCAGCAAAGGCTGAATGCATCCCTGCCAATACATTCACCTCTGAAGGACCAGATGGCAATATCAATGATTTTGTAACTATCTTCCTGTATTTTACTCCAAAGTGTCTTTTCTCATCTGTTTTTTTTTTTYYTTTYCYTTTT